CCCATTGGGCCTCTATTACCAGAATGCTAATAAGATTAGAACAAACTAATAGCGAAAACGAACATAAACTAATTGCAAAGACAGGCAAATCCGGCTCAAAGTTATACAAGCATAGTTAGTAGTTATCAAATCTCATTTTCGGTGAGTGTGGACATTTACAAGCGAAAGGGAACGATAGAAATTGTGCAAATGAACAAAGTTGTGATGCTTTTCTGAAGGAAGAGCAGCATGTGTACACGGAGCAGAGGGGTTGAAGAACAGGGGAGAAAAAGAAAACGCTAGCAACTGTATGGAACTCATCCAGAGATCTTTGACTTATGGCAGAAAGCCATTATAAGATAGCTGAAGGCAAACATTTTGTAGTGAATTGAATAACTTCATCACCTCATGTGCGCCACACAACATAGACTTGCCGATAGATATAGAACGCTATGGACTCACCAGCTCCCACTTTCTCCAGTTGTGCTATATACAGTGGGGAGAACAAGTATTTGATACACTGCCAATTTTGCAGGTTTTCCTACTTACAAAGCATGTAGAGGAATGTAATTTTTATCATAGGTACACTTCAACTGTGAGAGACGGAATCTAAAACAAAAATCCAGAAAATCACATTGTATGATTTTTAAGTAATTAATTTGCATTTTATTGCATGACATAAGTATTTGATCACCTACCAACCAGTAAGAATTCCGGCTCTCACAGACCTGTTAGTTTTTCTTTAAGAAGCCCTCCTGTTCTCCACTCATTACCTGTATTAACTGCACCTGTTTGAACTCGTTACCTGTATAAAAGACACCTGTCCACACACTCAATCAAACAGACTCCAACCTCTCTACAATGGCCAAGACCAGAGAGCTGTTTAAGGACATCAGGGATACAATTGTAGACATGCACAAGGCTGGGATGGGCTACAGGACAATAGGCAAGCAGCTTGGTGAGAAGGCAACAACTGTTGGCGCAATTATTAAAAAATGGAAGAAGTTCAAGATGACGGTCAATCACCCTCGGTCTGGGGCTCCATGCAAGATCTCACCTCGTGGGGCATCAATGATCATGAGGAAGGTGAGGGATCAGCCCAGAACTACACGGCAGGACCTGGTCAATGACCTGAAGAGAGCTGGGACCACAGTCTCAAAGAAAACCATTAGTAACACACTACGCCGTCATGGATTAAAATCCTGCAGCGCACGCAAGGTCCCCCTGCTCAAGCCAGCACATGTCCAGGCCCGTCTGAAGTTTGCCAATGACCATCTGGATGATCCAGAGGAGGAGTGGGAGAAAGTCATGTGGTCTGATGAGACAAAAATAGAGCTTTTTGGTCTAAACTCCACTCGCCGTGTTTGGAGGAAGAAGAAGGATGAGTACAACCCCAAGAACACCATCCTAACCGTGAAGCATGGAGGTGGAAACATCAATCTTTGGGGATGCTTTTCTGCAAAGGGGACAGGACGACTGCACGGTATTGAGGGGAGGATGGATGGGGCCATATATCGCGAGATCTTGGCCAACAACCTCCTTCCCTCAGTGAGAGCATTGAAGATGGGTCGTGGCTGGGTCTTCCAGAATGACAACGACCCGAAACACACAGCCAGGGCAACTAAGGAGTGGAAGCATCTCAAGGTCCTGGAGTGGCCTAGCCAGTCTCCAGACCTGAACCCAATAGAACATCTTTGGAAGGAGCTGAAAGTCCGTATTGCCCAGCGACAGCCCCGAAACCTGAAGGATCTGGAGAAGGTCTGTATGGAGAAGTGGGCCAAAATCTCTGCTGCAGTGCGTGCAAACCTGGTCAAGACCTACAGGAAACGTATGATCTCTGTAATTGCAAACAAAGGTTTCTGTACCAAATATGAAGTTCTGCTTTTCTGATGTATCAAATACTTATGTCATGCAATAAAATGCAAATTCATTACTTAAAAATCATACAATGTGATTTTCTGGATATTTTTTTTGATTCTGTCTCTCACAGTTGAAGTGTACCTATGATAAAGATTACAGACCTCTACATGCTTTGTAAGTAGGAAAACCTGCAAAATCGGTAGTGTATCAAATACTTGTTCTCCCCACTGTACAAACAAACACGTGACTGGCTCAACTGTTCTGGGGAACTACGGTAAGCTTCGTAATGTAAAATAATGTGACAGGTGAAATGAAGAACGCAATCTGCTTTATCTCCTAAGGTATTGCACAAGTTAACTGCAGTTATTAACCCAAAAAATTGCTACAAATATTCACATTTATTGAACAACTTAAAATAAATTGTTTTGATGGTATTGAAAAACCATTTTGTGGCTTTTTCCAAATACCCCGGTAAACGGTATACAGTTGGAAGTTTACATACACTTAGGTTGGAGTCATTAAAACTTGTTTTTCAACCACTCCACAAATGTATTTTACAAACTATAGTTTTGGCAAGTCGGTTAGGACATTTACTTTGTGCATTTTTCCAACAATTGTTTACAGACAGATTATTTCACTTATAATTCACTATATCATAATTCCAGTGGGTCAGAAGTTTACATACACTAAGTTGACTGTGCCTTTTAAACAGCTTGGAAAATTCCAGAAAATGATGTCATGGCTTTAGAAGCTTCTGATAGGCTAATTGACATAATTTGAGTCAATTGGAGGTGTGCCTGTGGATGTATTTCAAGGCCTACCTTCAAACTCAGTGCCTCTTGCCTTGACATCATGGGAAAATCAAAAGAAATCTGGTAGACCTCCACAAGTCTGGTTCATCCTTGGGAGCAATTTCCAAATACCTGAAGGTACCACGTTCATCTGTACAAACAATAGTATGCAAGTATAAACACCATGGGACCACGCAGCCGTCATACCGTTCAGGAAGGAGACGCGTTCTGTCTCCTAGAGATTAACGTACTTTGGTGAGAAAAGTGCAAATCAATCCCAGAATAACAGCAAAGGACCCTGTGAAGATGCTGGAGGAAACAGGTACAAAAGTATCTATATCCACAGTAAAACAAGTCCTATATCGACATAACCTGAAAGGCCACTCAGCAAGGAAGAAGCCACTGCTCCAAAACCGCCATAAAAAAGCCAGATTACGGTTTGAAACTGCACTTGGGGACAAAGATCGTACTTTTTGGAGAAATGTCCTCTGGTCTGATGAAAAAATAGAACTGTTTGGCCATAATGACCATCGTTATGTTTGGAGGAAAAAGGGGGTCGCTTGCAAGCCGAAGAACACCATCCCAACCCTGAAGCACGGGGTGGCAGCATCATGCTGTGGGGGTGCTTTGCTGCAGGAGGGACTGGTGCACTTCACAAAATAGATGGCATCATGAGGAAGGAAAATTATGTGGATATATTGACGCAACATCTCAAGACATCAGTCAGGAAGTTAAAGCTTGGTCGAAAATGGGTCTTCCAAATGGACAATGACCCCAAGCATACTTCCAAAGTTGTGGCAAAATGGCTTAAGGACAACAAAGTCAAGGTATTGGAGTGGCCATCACAAAGCCCTGACCTCAATCCTATAGAAAATGTGTGGGCATAACTGAAAAAGCGTGTGCGAGCAAGGAGGCCTACAAACCTGACTCAGTTACACCAGCTCTGTCAGGAGGAATGGGCCAAGATTCACCCAACTTATTGTGGGAAGCTTATGGAAGGCTACCCAAAATGTTTGACCCAAGTTAAACAATTTAAAGGCAATGCTACCAAATACTAATTGAGCGTATGTAAACTTCTGACCCACTGGGAATGTGATGAAAGAAATAAAAGCTGAAATAAATCATTCTCTCTACTATTATTCTGACATTTCACATTCTTAAAATAAAGTGGTGATCCTAACTGACCTAAAACAGGGAATCTTTACTAGGATTAAATGTCAGGAATTGTGAAAAACTGAGTTTAAATGTATTTGGCTAAGGTGTATGTAAACTTCCGACTTCAACTGTATCTATTATTACTTGAAGAGGGTTAGGTAATGAAATACTGCATTCGCAAAGGTAACACTGATACACTGATCCCTCTGGGCACAGACGTTAGATTAACGCTTATTCCACATTGGTTCAATGTAATTTCGTTGAAATGACGTTGAAACAACGGTGATTCAACCAGTGTGTGTGTGCCAAGTGGGATATCCCTGCTAACGTAAGGGCGATTCCACACCAGCATGGCCTGAAAATATTTTTGGGTATCTCAGATTGTTCTGGTAATGCTCACATAGAAACTTAATTGGGAGGTAGGATGTTTAACATGCTTTTTACATTTGTATCACAAGCCAAGTTCTAAAATATGGAGTATGGATATATTGTAAAAAAACAACATCACATTAATTTATTCAACATTACAAATATGAATATCTCAAAAGTACCCTTTTTTATGTTGCTTACTTGAGACATATTCTTTGGAACAATATATTCTTCAAACATATACAGAGCGTGCTTTCTGCTACTTTTGAAGAAGTTATACATTTGATACATAGAAATTGACGTCAAAGCCCTCCTGTAGGATTACACATTCAGCAAATCACCAGCAGAGGGAGTTCCCTTTGAATCCATTTTCCCATGCAACTGTGTTGGTGGTGCTCATAAAATGTATCATAACTTTAAAAGTAGCAGAGAGCCCACTCTAGACATTTGATGCACTTGTAGAGTATTGTAGGCCTGTATGTCTAAAAAGGGCCTAAAATGGCCACTTTCATCATGATTTTATTGAAAGATGCTAATGTAAAAAGTATTTCAAACATCCTTCCTCTCAATTAAGTGAGAATTGCCAGATAAATCTTGAGTTAACAAAAATATATTCGGCCTCTGCTGGCATGGAATCGCCCGTAAGCGTAAACAGTGTTAGTGTGTGCGTATACAATGCTTATGTGTGCTTATACAGTGTGTATGCATGCACAGTACTTATTATGTGTGCTTATACAGTGTGTATGCATTTACAGTACTTATTATGTGTGCTTATACAGTGTGAATGCATGCACAGTACTTATTATGTGTGCTTATACAGTGTTTTGTGCTTTCTCTACTCCCAGGCAGCCAGACAAACTGCGAGTAGTATGGAGCAGGAGAAGCAGGAGAAACTGCACCAAGGTAATATGGGGAACGCTACTTCATTCAACAAAGTTGAGTAGTGACATATGTAGGCCTGTTTGTCCAGCGCTTGTCATCATGATAAAGTGTGAGAAGGCCCCCCTACTGTATGTAGACTACCTGAGGATGTGTAGCCTATACGGTGAAAGGTCAGATATGCTTGTGTTTGAGGAAATTGGACCATGTATACACAGAAGTGTGGTATGTTTTGAGTTCAGCCATAAATCATTCTGGCTTTATTCATCACAGCAATTGCTTTATTAATCACATCACATTAAAGATGCGCTATGCAGAAATTGCTCAGCCATTTCCTGGTTGCTAAAATTCTAATAGTTCACCTTATTTCAGTTTATGTGACAAAACAAGCAAGTATAGTGTAGAGAATCATTGTACCATCTAAACCGCTGTGAAATATATTTTCCATAACCAAAAAGATTGTATTTTCAGCTGTTTGAAGCTGGTGTACAAAACCGAAAGTAAAAGACGCAAACACAAAACTTAAAAACGGGAAGCATAGAAATAGTGCACATAGAACAGATCTACCGCTTCTTAGACTTGGTTTCAATTAGAATGACAGATTTATAACTCCTATTTCTATGTGAATTTGGTCGGGTCGCCCAAAAGGTTACATTGTGCAGCTTTAAGCTTATTTGCTTATAGTCACAATGCATTCATTATCTATCACATTCAACACACTACAGTCACAATGCATTCATTATGTATCACATTCAACACTCTACAGTCACAATGCATTCATTATTTATCACATTCAACACTCTACAGTCACAATGCATTCATTATGTATCACATTCAACATTCTATAGTCACAATGCATTCATTATTTATCACATTCAACACACTACAGTCACAATGCATTCATTATGTATCACATTCAACATTCTATAGTCACAATGCATTCATTATGTATCACATTCAACACACTACAGTCACAATGCATTCATTATGTATCACATTCAACACTCTACAGTCACAATGCATTCATTATTTATCACATTTAACACTCTACAGTCAAAATGCATTCATTATTTATCACATTCAACACTCTACAAGCCACACGTGCCACAAATATTTAGACCCCCTTGATTTTTTCCACATTTTGTTACGTTACAGCCTTACTCTGAAATGGATTAAATAAAACAATTTCCTCAGCAATCTACACACAATAACCCATAAAGACAAAGCAAAAACTGGTTTTTGGACATTTTTGCAAATTTATTAAAAACAAAAAACAGAAATACCTTATTTACATAAGTATTCAGACCCTTTGCTATGAGACTCGAAATTGAGCTCAGGTGCATCCTGTTTCCATTGATCATCCTTGATATGTTTCTACAACTTAATTGGAGCACCTGTGGTCAATTCAATTGATTGGACATGATTTGGAAAGGCACACACCTGTCTATATAAGGTTGACAGTGCATTCCCACAGTTGACAGTGCATGTCAGAGCAAAAACCAAGCCATGAGGTCGAAGGAATTGTCCGTAGAGCTCCGAGACAGGATTGTGTCTAGGCACAGATCTGGGGAAGGTTACATTTCTGCAGCATTGAAGGTCCCCAAGAACACAGTGGCCTCCATCATTCTTAAATGGAAGAAGTTTAGAACCACCAAGACTCTTACTAGAGCTGGCCGCCCGCCCAAACTGAGCATTCGGGGGAGAAGGGCCTTGGTCAGGGAGGTGACCAAGAACCCGATGGTCAATCTGACAGAGCTCCAGAGTTCCTCTGTGGAAATGGGAGAACCTTCCAGAAGGACAACCATCTCTGCAGCACTCCACCAATTAGGCCTTTATGGTAGAGTGGCCAGACGGAAGCCACTCCTCAGTAAAAGGCACATGACAGTCCGCTATGAGTTTTCCAAAACATTTTACATTTACATTTTAGTCATTTAGCAGACGCTCTTAACCAGAGCGACTTACAGGAGCAATTAGGGTTAAGTGCCTTGCTCAAGGGCACATTAACGTCATTTAGCAGACGCTCTTAGCCAGAGCGACTCACAAATTGGTGCGTTCACCCTATAGCCAGTGGGATAACCACTTTACAATTTGGGCTAAAGACTTTACAAAAGGCACCTAAAGACTCTCAGGCCATGAGAAACAAGATTCTCTGGTCTGATGAAACCATGATTGAACTCTTTGGCCTGAATGCCAAGCGTCACGTCTGGAGGAAACCTGGCATAATCCTTACGGTGAAGCATGGTGGTGGCAGCATCATGCTGTGGGGATGTTTTTCAGCGGCAGGGACTTGGTGGCTTGTCAGGATCGAGGCAAAGATGAATGGAGCAAAGTACAGAGAGATCCTTGATAAAAACCTGCTCCAGAGCTCTCAGGACCTCAGACTAGGGCGAAGGTTCACCTTCCAACAGAACAATGACCCTAAGCACACGGCGAGGACAACGCAGGAGTGGCTTCGGGACAAGTCTCTGAATGTCCTTGAGCCTCTGGAGAGACCTGAATATAGCTGTGCAGCAACGCTCCCCATCCAACCTGACAGAGCTTGAGAGGTTCTGCAGAGAAGAATAGGTGAAACTCCCCAAATACAGGTGTGTCCAAGCTTGTAGCGTCATACCCAAGAAGACTCGAGGCTGTAATCGCTGCCAAAGGTGCTTCAACAATGTACTGAGTAAAGGGTCTAAATACTGATGTAAATGTAATATTTCAATTTTTTTATGTTTTTTTATACATTTATACATTTGCTAAAATGTCTAAAAAACAGTTGTTGCTTTTCATTATGGGGTATTGTGTGTAGCTTGATGAGGGGATATATATATTTTTTAAAATCAATTTTATTATATGGCTGTAACTTAACAAAATGTGGAAAAAGTCAAGGGGTCTGAATACTTTCCGAAGGCACTGTACAATTCATAGGTATGACTGGGTTCCCCCAGTCAGCGTATTATCGGATCCTCTCCCTGACTTGATATTTACCCCATTCCTCAGCTGCGTGGGTGGCAGCCTGGCATCAAGAACCCCTACAGGGGCACGGTGGTGTGGCATGTGCCCGAAAACCTGGACATCACCGTCACACTCTTCAAGGTATAGAATCTCTCCACTGGAAAGATGTGCGCAAATGCTTGGGGAAATTATTTAGATGAATGTGCATTTGGATTGACAAAACATGTTTCCTTATTCTCAAAATCGCTCTTCTTTTAGGACCCGACAGCGGAGGAATTTGAAGACAAGAACTGGACATTCATCATTGAGAATGTGAGTATTTTTCTCTGATGTGGTGGCATGAATAGATGTTTTTTATCAATTAGAATTTTGAGTCAAAACACGTACAGTACATTGAATGTTTAAAGTTTGACAGAGCTGTCACGGATGACATAGTGCATGCTACAAAAACATATCCTGGGTTTAAGACTTTTTAATACAGTTTTAGGAAAAACATTTCCTCTTGATTATACCAAAGTATTGGATTTAAGTAGCTTCAGTTGGAAAACCTGAGTTAACCCCTGGCCTTTGGCCCTCAGGAAACTAACAAGGGCCACAGGAAGGTGCTGGCATCAGTGGACGTCAACATGAAGGAGTTTGCCAGCATCACCCCTGCACAGTATGACCTGACGCTGAAGCTCATGCCCCTGTCTGTGAAGGTGGTGGAGGCCACACTCAAACTGACCTTGACCTGCGTCTTCCTCAAAGAGGGCAAGGCCACGTGAGTTGCCATTTATATATTGTATGCACGCATGACTGTAAGTCGCTTTGGATAAAAGCGTCTGCTAAATGGCATATTATATTATATTATTATTATCTAATCAGTCATGCTTATCACAGGCTTACTGTATTATGTCAAGTAGATAGGGCTACTAAAAGGTTTACCGTATTATGTCAAGTAGATAGGGCTACTAAAAGGTTTACCGTATTATGTCAAGTAGATAGGGCTACTAAAAGGTTTACCGTATTATGTCAAGTAGATAGGGCTACTAAAAGGTTTACCACATTATGTCAAGTAGATAGGGCTACTAAAAGGTTTACAGTGTTATGTCAAGTAGATAGGGCTACTAAAAGGTTTACCGTATTATGTCAAGTAGATAGGGCTACTAAAAGGTTTACCGTATTATGTCAAGTAGATAGGGCTACTAAAAGGTTTACCACATTATGTCAAGTAGATAGAGCTACTAAAAGGTTTACCACATTATGTCAAGTAGATAGGGCTACTAAAAGGTTTACCGTATTATGTCAAGTAGACAGAGATTGAGATACTAAATGGTTTACCACATTATGTGAAGTAGAAAAAGTATTGAGTCAGCTGTCTCTCAACAAAGCTTACCGTTAAAAAAAACAAAGCTTTGTAATGGTATATAACCATTTGAGTTGGTCATTACTGACCTGTAACGTTATAGTCAGTTAATGATGTTTAATGATTAGTCATTAACAGTCAATTAGACAATATTACTGTTTCTGGATGAGTTATAATACAATTCTTCTTCCTTTGTAACCCAACAGAGATGAGGACATGCAGAGTCTGGCCAGTCTGATGAGCCTGAAGCAGAGTGACATCGGCAACCTGGACGACTTCAACGATAGTGACGAGGAGGAGGGCGAGTGGAGGGCCAGCATCAGAGCCGGCATGGGACCTGCCACTCCCGTCACAGGTAGTCATCAGCTCTCGCATTCCAAGATCGAGTCAAGACGGAGAAAAATGTGTCTGAGACCGAGACACTCAAAATGCTCTGGTCTCGAGTACTGCACACACTGATAAATACAGTAGCTTTATACAGTACTAACCTTTCATACACACCGAAAAACACAAGCCCACATATCCACTCCATCTGACAGGTAAACAAAACTGCCATAGGAGATGCTCACTTTGCATATGTTTGAAGCCTTCTGAGGTGTGACAGATTTGAAGTGTTTAATGTTTGAAAACATTGCTCAATACACCGGCATGGCATATTGCTCCACTCTTCCAGCCTCACACCTAATGTCTCAACTACGGTGGCCCAGTAGGAACTCACAATTGCCCTCCTATACATTTTCCCTTTCAAATGTATGAACGCCAAGCAAATCTCTTTCCACGCCAAGCTTCCCCTTCCATAATATATGAATTTCCTTTCCTTCCTTTTCTTTAATATTTCCCTCTTCCTTCCCCCCCCTCCCTTCCTTCAACTCTGAAAGCACCCACGAGAAGAATACGTGATCAGGCATGGAGGCCTGTGATTGACCCAGAGCCCACAGGTAACTTCCTGTTCCCTCCCCTGCTCCCGCCTCCTCTGAATCTTGATTGGACCTTTTCCCTGGTCCTATCCCCTCTCCTCCCATCCCTCATTTGAAATGTTGATATTCATGTGCTATAAGCGTTTATCTAAATATTGATCAAACTATTCACATTATTTGTATGGTTTGATTAATCATATTTATTAAACCTAATGGATATTAGCCAATGAGGTTTCAAATGAAGTTGTATACCTCATTACATTCTCTTGTTAAATCATTCAATCAGATACTCTCTACAAGGCAAAATTAAGTAAACAAGTTAGCAGTCGTTTCAATAACTGTTTGAAGTGATGGAATCTGTTACGTATTTATAGTTACACAATATGAATACCTAAGGTATCCTACACCCATAAGAGCTCACCTTTTCCTTTTAAATTCCTATCATGTATCAAACGTACTATAATTAAACTGTGGGACTGAATACTGGGGCCTGGTTTGTAGGGATGGGACTAGGATTGAGTCATTTATAATGAAGAGTTACAGTGAGAGAGAAAAATAATTTGAGCAACTGTACAGTTTGAATGTCTGGGATGAATATCTGAGTACTATCCCTCTCCATTGCTTATATACTTTCATTCTTCCCCTCTTCCCTTTTCTCACTTCCCCTTCGCTGCTGTTCTCATTTTTCCTCTTCTCTTTTCTCTGAACCCTCTTCCTCAACTGCATTTCATCTCTTTTAATCTCTTTGATACCTGTATATCTCTACAACACTTTCTTTCTCTACTTTTTCTGACACTCTTCTGTTCTTTCCTGCATCTGTCCTCCTTTCTATCTTTTGCTCCAACTCTTTTCTTTCTCCCCCCCCTCATCTCTCCCCATCACCTCCCCCTCCCTCATCTCCCCCATCACCTCCCCCTCCCTCATCCCCCCCCTCACCTCCCCCCTCCCTCATCTCTGCCCATCACCTCCCCTTCCCTCATCTCTCCCATCACCTCCCCTCCCTCTCCTCCATCCTCCCCATCACCTACTCGCCCATCACCTCCCCCTCACTCTCCATCCTCTGCCCATCACTCCCCCTCCCTCATCTCTGCCCATCACCTCCCCCTCCCTCATCTCTGCCCATCACCTCCCCCTCCCTCATCTCTGCCCATCACCTCCCTCCATCATCTCCTACCCCCTCCCTCATCTCTGCCCATCACCTCCCCCTCCTCCTCATCTCTGCCCATCACCTCCCCTCCCTATTCTGCCCATACCTCCCTCCTCCTCATTCGCCATCACCCCCTTCCCTCATCTCTGACCATCACCTCCCCCTTCCCTCTTCTGCCATCACCTCCCCCTCCCTCATCTCTGCCCATCACCTCCCCCTCCCTCATCTCTGCCCATCACCCCTCCCCCTCCCCTCTCCCTCTCTTTCCCATCACCCCTCCCCATCCCCCCCCCTCTTTCTTTCTTCCCATCACCTCCCCTCCCCCTCCCTCTTTCGCCATCACCTCCCCTCCCCCCCCCTCTTTCTGCAATCACCTCCCCCTCCCACCCCTCCCTCTTTCTGCCCATCACCTCCCCTCCCCCTCCCTCTTTCTGCCCATCACCTCCCCTCCCACCCCTCCCTCTTAACTGCCCATCACCTCCCCTCCCCCTCCCTCTTTCTGCCCATCACCTCCCCTCCCCACCCGCCCCTTATCTCTTCCACCCAGCTGCCAGTGAGATAGATTGGAGTAGCTCATTTGGCACTGTCTCTACCATCTCACTCTTGTCACGCCCCCCTCTGCCCCACCTGCCGCCCACTCCCGACTCAACACCGGCCCCGAGGGCACCACTCACCCGGCACGACCCTCCCCCTATGCCTACCAAGTGCCAGCCTTTGTCCGTTCCCACCCACCTGCACTGCCAAAAATCTTCCAGCCGGCCGCTGGCTCAGGTACTGGCAGACAGACTGACTGACTCACGGTCTTATTCACTGATATTGAATCATAGACTACACCTATTGTAATAAGTAAAAAGTCAAGTAACAGCTTTTATTCAAGGATATCACAGAGGGATACCCACAAGTTTGTTTCTGTGCATAACTTTAGCTAGGACATCAGGTAGAATATTTATTTGACATTTGATAAGTTATTGAAGGTGATTGCTTTAAAGAGAAGAGAGAGTTATGAGCAATTGAGAGAGGCATTTGTTGTTTGGGAATTCTGACTCATGGGAAGACATTAAAGGGGCCTCAGACTTGTTATACAATGCATCTTTCTATGGTCTGAGGCACCCCCTGCTGTTTAAAACAGTTTAGCCATGGCAAGATTGAGAAAAACATGTCGACAGATTCCTGGAGGAATGAACTGAATGTCCTGAATGTGCTGAATTACCTTGAGACATACACAGGTCTGGAATAATTATTTTCTCCACTGACCGAAATGCTAGCCGTTGAACGTTTATTGCCGAGGTTGCCAAGGGCAATTGCCTCATTTCCATAGCAACTGCCCTAGCTCGCAGTGAATTTGTTCATCAAAGCGGTGACATATTTTATGGTTTCTGGCATTGGTCCATTCACTTTCTGTCATGACTGTTGCTAGGGAAGTGAGGTCGCAGTTAATAGGGCTGTTCAGGGAGATTCTTGGACACACTAGAGGAATGCTACTTTGCTGGATTTGTATGTGGAGTAATTTAGTTGTCCAGTACTTTACTTTCTTTACACTAGTTTTAAGAGAAAGCATGTCCTATTATTTTTTTTTTTTTTAGTATTTTTTATTTATTTTATTTTTACATTTAGCCAAGCTTAATGACAATGTATTTTCTCTGTGCTGGTCGGAGTACTTTTAACTCCATTAAGAGTAACCAGTGACGGGGAGTTAAATCTATGACGTTATCCACAGATGTGGGAGGGGCATCATTGTCATAGTCCCCAGCATGCTCTGTTGCAGGTTTGTTTCAATATCTGTGTTTTCGCATGTACATTGATTGTTTTTTATCTTGAGCTACACAAAGATAAGAAACGTACATTTTCTAAACTAATCCAATCTGTAAGTGGATGGATTTATAGCAACCGTTAGTGAGATAGCTGTCTTCATGTAGTGGATTCTCTAACCTACTCTGACAGGCATTTTAAATGCAAGTTGTGAGTGATGAAAAAATGCTGGATATCTTCCTGCAAGTTGGCGTCCAACAGAGATTGGATATCACATTGCAAACCACCCTTATAACACAAAGGAAATCAACTGAAAGATGAATGTACTTTGCTGTAGTTGATTTTTAATTGAAAACAACACAGAAAAGTGTAAAATGGCAAGGGAGTTGATTAAAAAACGACAGTGAAAACAGTAAAATGGCAATTGGAGTTAAATTTAAGAAACTCTCTGAGAGTTGGATATTTACTCCATTTAGTGTCGTTGTAACTCCAAAAATATCAACACCATGACCAGAGTACTTTTAACACAAAATAGGGGTGGGACCATATAAACCCTAAAATAGTGTTACATTTGACTCCCTAGAAGTTGAATTAACTCTTGCAATTTAACTGTGTACTATCTCCTCTACCGTTTTCTCTCAGTGGCCCGGAGGCCCCGCGGCATCCAGAGTGATGCAACATCACGGCTCTGGACCCTGACAGTCTTTCTGAGGGCCACGTGGCTCCTGGTCTCTTCACCCTTCTCTCCATTAAGACCCCTCTCAGCCTCCATCACTGGGCCTTCCTCCACCTCCCCGCTCTCCTCTTCCCCCCTCCGTCCTTCCACCTCCCTCTTTCTCTGATATTCCACAGACAGGTACTGCATGGACAGAAATTGATGGGATAGTTTCAAGGCATTTGTCCGTAATTGTAATTTACTGCGCGGATGCGATTTGTCGTTGATTCTGTCTGTAGTAGCCGTTCATCACCATCCTCTTTTCTTTCTTTTCTCTACGCCCCACATTCTTCTTTCCATCCCCCTCTTCTCCTCCTCTACCACTTTCGGCACCTTCCCTCCTGCTTTCCAGCTCCTCCCTGTCCCCTGTCAGCCCAAAGCTTACATCACCTCCCTGGCAGAGCCAGGCCCCGCCCTCACTAGGCCTACCAGCCTGCCCTCGGCCCCTGCGACAGGTACAATACAGACCCACGGCAAAGGACATTAATCAACATATACCATCAGGGAAGCCAATTACATATTTGTATGTAGTTGAATCTCAGAATCTTTATACACTTTTTAGAGTGCTCAGAAAATATGAATGTTAGGGTGGTCTTAACGTTACAATTCCACAGTAATAATGCTTCATACTCTCAGTGTGGGACTTACTGGTCTTTAATCCATCTAGGTCATTTTATTCAACAGAAAACATGTTTAGTCGAATCTTGGAAATGTACTGCACTGTTTTAGACTGATACAGGCACTGTATGAATGATTTTCTGGACAGTGTCAGATTTTCTTTATTAATGATTACAGTCAATCCAACAATGAAACTAAATGTAGCCTATGTTATGTGCAATAGGTTTTCCCACATCAATACTTCTATGTTGCTACTGTTTATCAGACAACGTAGTGAATATTCTGTTGATTGTCTCTTTCTCTTTCTCTCTCTTTATTCCAATCTTAATACATTTTCTACTCTAATATCTATTCTAACCACCCATATACCATCCCTCTATTTCTCCCTTCCCTCTCTTCTGTCCCTCTTTCTCTCTTACTTTCCCTCCCTCCGTTCTACCCCTTCTCATCCCCCCCTCACAGTTCCCTGGCAGAGTGAATGGAGGCTGCACAAAACCTAGGCCCCTGTGGCCCAGCTGGCCATCTCCCCCAAATTTCTGCACCTGAGCCAGTAGAGCAGACAAAGCAGAGCATGGAGACATGCTAATCCTGCTTTCTCTCCCTCCATGTCCTCCCCCCTTGATGTGTCCCCTTCTCCCATGTCACAGTCTCCTCTCCTCTCCTCTCCTCTCCTCTCCTCTCCTCTCCTCTCCTCTCCTCTCCTCTCCTCTCCTCTCCTCTCCTCTCCTCTCCTCTCCTCTCCTCTCCTCTCCTCTCCTCTCCTCTCCTCTCCTCTCCTCTCCTCTCCTCTCCTCTCCTCTCCTCTGTCTACCCCTGTGTCAGCCTCATCTCCTGTTTTCTCCACTCTCCCCAACACTGATTCTGCATCTGACCCAATGGAAGCACCTTACTGCACTCTTGTGTCCTCACCTCCCCCTCCTCTCGTAACCTCCTCTGGCTCTGATGCTCCTGTCCTCACCTCTGATTCTGTACCTGCCATCGTCTCTGATTGTCCCCCATCCACTCCCATTGATGCTAAACATGCTCCTGCATCCATGCCTCCCATTAACTCTGATAACCCAGCCGTTGCCCCAACCTCCACCCCTGACACTTCCCATTCTCTATCCCTGGTCTTTCCCCTGATCCCACTGCTCCCACCCCTGGTCTTCCTACTGCTTCTGACCCTACCGCTGCCCCATGTTGTGATCCCACCCCTGGTCTTCCCTACTTTCCTACTGGCTTCTGACCCTACCGCTGCCCCATGTTGTGATCCCACCCCTGGTCTTCCTACTGCTTCTGACCCTACCGCTGCCCCATGTTGTGATCCCACCCCTGGTCTTCCTACTGCTTCTGACCCTACCGCTGCCCCATGTTGTGATCCCACTCCTGGGTCTCCTACTGCTTCTGACCCTACCGCTGCCCCATGTTGTGATCCCACTCCTGGTCCCTCACCTGATGCTATTGGCGCTTCTCCGTGTGCTGCAGATCCTGCTTCTGCCACTGTTCCCCAGTCAGGTACAGATCTCAAAGAGAGACTCAGCCCCAAGCATTGACATTGGACAAATGCTTGTCTGACCAGTCTACAAAATTATACTTTGATCGCAACTGGTTGATATGTTTATGAATCAAAGTCTTTCCTCCACTCCCTCTTTCCTCCACTCCCTCTTTCCTCCTCTCCCTCTTTCCTCCCTTCTCCTTTTCCTTTCCTTCCTTGTCTTCCCTGTGTCCTACTTTCCCCCCCCCCCCACCCTCTCCCTCTCACCACCTATCCTGTTCCTACTCCTGGACTCTCTCCTGGCCACCCCTCCAAGACTCAAGTCCCCACATACCCCCCTCCCAGTACCAGTCACTACTCCCCTGTCTGTCCAAGAGACAGGTATACAACCTGAGGCAACAAACAGAGAAGGCATTCACTGCAAAGTCCTTATGTTTAATAATGGGGATGAATTAATGAATGAATGAATGATATGATAGAATGAATGAATGAATGTCAGAATGCTATGATGATAACATGTATTCCCTTCTCAATCTTCACATGAGAACACCTGGCACCTGGCTAGTTGTTTTGGTTGTAACAGTCTCTTGCAAATTGTCGTTGAATGTAAGAATTGTATGTTAGCATTATATGTGGTTCCATCATTCATTGTTGATTATTGGTCGCTTCACAGGTGTCAAGCCGGGTACCAAGCCAACTCTCGTTCAGATAATCATGTCTAACCAGGTCCTGTCTGTTCCCTTCTAGAGTTTCAGAAGCAGTTGAGCACACTGACAGAGGAGGAATACACCACTGCCACAACTACCAGTGAGTAGGACCTAATGCAACCACAATGCCTTTTAGGAACATCCCTAAATCTAAACAACAGGGCTAAATCCTAACTTGAGATCTGTGTGCTTAACTTTGCTCAAAACTTCAAATGTATAGGGCACAGCTCTTCAAGTCAGAATTTGGCCCACAGTCAATACAGTTTTAAACAAGCTATGATAGGCCTCCCGAGTGGCGCAGCGGTCTAAGGCACTGCATCGTAGTGCTTGAGGCGTCACTACAAACCCGGGTTTGATCCCAGGCTGTGTCAAAGCCGGCCGTGACAGGGAGACCCATGAGGCGGTGCACAATTGGCCCAGCGTCGTCCGGGTTAGAGGAGGGTTTGGCCGGCCGGGATTTCCTTGTCCCATTGCGCTCTAGCGATTCCTTGTGGTGGGCCGGGCGCCTGAAAGCTGACTTCGGTCACCAGCTGGACAGTGTTTCCTCCAACACATTGGTGTGGCTGGCTTCCGGGTTAAGCGAGCAGTGTGCCAAGACTCAGTGCGGCTTGGCAGGGTCGTGTTTCGGAGGGCGCATAGCTCTCGACCTTTGCCTCTCCCGAGTTGTAGGGGAGTTGCAGCGATGGGACGACTGTAACTACCAATTGGATATCACGAAGAAAAAAAAAAGGCTATGATGTTGCTGGCAATGGAGAGGGGTATGAGACACTGGAGTAATAATTAGCAATATGAATATGAAATATATGAAGCATAGATCAACATAGATCCCCATTTATTTACTCATCTCCTATAGCTTGTTTTTGCCAGTTGACTGCCACATCTGTACTGAAATACATCAGCATAATCATAAGCTAGAAAGATGTGAATGGTATTAAGCTAGCTAGCCAACTAGTTAAACATACCAAAAACTATCTAAAACAGAAAACAAAATGTAAATGGTATATAGCTAGCTAACAACCTACGTGGCTAGCTAATTTAGCCAGTTTGTCATTGTTTTCCAAAATATTTTAGAATGGCAGACTGATCACATGACCAATATCTGCTCTCTGATTGGAGGATTTCTAAAAGTTGACCTCAAGTTGCTCATTTTCAATGGAAAAATGTTGCAGCAACCATTGCTGGCAACATTGCTCTGCAATATTGGCTAACAAAATTGCTAGTGTATCATCAGGGTTGACTTCAGCTTCATGATGTCCTCCTCTGTTATCCCCTCTAGGCCGCACTGCTGGAATGATCAGTATTGCCAATCAGAGGCCAGACCCATCAACATCCACACTTGACCCATTGGCTAAGCCCTTTGGGACAACAGTCCATGAGAGAAGGCGGGGGGCATTCTCAATGTTTGGAGTGGAGGTTGTCCAGGCAATGGCAGGGTGAGTAAATTCAAAGGTTATACAGATATAGACGGGTTGGTTGTTTAGCAGCAAAACCGAAGCGTGTGCAAATATGGGGCAAAACAGACTGGGTGGGCTTAGAATGTTGACAGCATGTAAACTATATTTAGTCTCCAATGTTTATTGAAAACATAAATACATTTGCACAATAAGCACTTGTTGTCTCTCAAATACATAATTACAGTTGTTGGTTAGCTAGCTAGCAAATTTGAGCCATATTAGCATTGACATGAAATCAGTCAAAACACCTCAAAACAAGACATGGTATCAAGAACATGATGAAACTAGCTGAAACGAGCCACTTACGATTCCCCACATGGCAGTTTCTTGTCATAGTTGCTAGCTATCTGGCCATCCAGAATCACAACAACTCATGGACATCTGCCCCATTGAAGTGTGCACATTGTTTTCGTGATGTTGTCAGCTAACCCATCTATTAGTGGTGGTGATCATTATTTATGCTTGGAATGACTGGATCGGTTTTAGCCTTTGCATGATGGAGTTTGTAAGACAACGATGTAAGATGACACAGTAAAGGCCACTGGAAAAAAATACAAAAAAGTGTGGTAATTTGTCCTTATTAAAAACTATGACAAGTGAATTTCACATTCATACTAACTTGAAGTAGGCCTAAAACATTTGTGGTACAATATATCCAGGGCATTAGAGACGTGTCTTATTAGTTATAATGGTGACATAGATATACTGGCATGGATAACTGTCTGAAGGAGTTTGTCCTAAATTGTTGGCAGGTTTCATAAAAGTTGTGATTATAACCACTTGTTCGCTTTGGCACTTCAAAGATAGAACTACATATTTTGACACACTCCGGATACATGGTCACTGTAGCAACGTATTAATCTGAAATCTTGTGATTCATTGGAAACTACTGGAAACCAAAATGATTGTATCAGTTTCCAGTAGGCAGATTGACAGTGTGTCAACTTTCCTCAGGCTGAAATACTGTTGCAAGACATAGCGAGATCACTGCTCGTCTTGACCCAGGGATAGTCTTACATGATCGACTTCTTTTGACTGAACGCTTGCTGATTGGCTACTTTGTGTGCAATCTATTAGTATGCTACCTCAAGCAGTATGCCAAATAATGCATGTAAGATCCTTAGCAAAGCTCTTCTTACAGTAGCACCACTTAGAATGGTTTCTGACCGTGCTTGAGATGGGCAACCTTGCCTGTTTTTGTCTGCATTGTTGCTATGGAGATACAATCTCCCCCCCCCCCTCCCTTGAACTCTGACCTTGATTTGTTTGTCCCTCAGATCTGAGAGCATGACCCCTCTCCTACCCTTTAGCCCCAGAGCATCCTCTGTTCCGGGGCGCCAATATTTTTGAGATGCCATAACTCCAAAAAGCAAAGAGTCAGGCAGAGTCACTTGATCAAGATGTCCATGCAGATAGGGACGCCGTTAGCCAAAACCAGAGCCTGAACAGATTGTGGCGGTAGCTATTGGGCAGCAGAGGAGGATGGCAACTCATGTACAGAGTGTCGCAGAGCATTCTGCCAAAAGAGAAACACACAGAGAAAGAGCAGGGGCTGACAGAAAGATAATCCTAAAGATTCTCCCAAAAGAACAAGAGGGTACAAGACGTTCAAGAGGTTCAAAAGAACAAGTGGTACCCATGGACTGAGGGGCGTGGCATGGTGCACAATCACAGCACAGCCCTGTTCCTCAATGTGTAGCTCATAGGTTTGCATTTCAATAAATATTAAGGGCTATTCCCACTAACTATTTAAACACAATAACATGTTTTGGGAACTACATTGGCACCATTCCTCTGGCATATTTCCTTGGTGTCCCCTGTCCCTGTAGAACTAATAGTATGGCTGCCTTGCTGCCATCTTGTCCAAGAGTGGCCAGTTCTCCAGGTTTCCCAACCATATTGATTATGAACAGATTTATGGCTCGACCCGAAGAATGGCCCATTAATAAAAGGCCATTATGAAAGAAGCCACTGAAAGGAACCCCAATATTCACCCCTGCTCATGAAAGATTGGATGAGGACCAGATAACAATGGAAAGTATGGCTGCCCTGTTGCTAAGTTGTCCAAGGGTAGCCAGTGTTCCTGGGTTCCCCTTGGCACCACCACCCAAAACAGAAAGACCAGCATCACCTCCCAAAACAGAAAGACCAGCATCACCTTCCAAAACAGAAAGAACCGCATCACCACCCAAAACAGAAAGAACAGCATCACCACCCAAAACAGAAAGACCAGCATCACCACCCAAAACAGAAAGACCAACACAACAACCCAAAACAGAAAGGCTTGAAAAACAAATGGAACCAAGTATGGTGAATCTAGCGACCAACTTGCACAAGGGTATCCAGTGCACCTGGTTCGGCCTCCAGTGAACCAAAGGAGACTGAAGGGGCTGAGGCTCTAAGTTGGGCTGTAGATAAGAAGCTGATATGGGAGAGATCACATGATGAGAAGACAGTTATAGGGCTTTCTCCGTCAGTTGCTTTAGACAAGGTGTATTGAGATTGTTGAAACGTATGGTAGCACTTGTCACATTTTGCCCAAGTGAGAGTACTTTTCCTGGTTTCCCATCTGTTCCAAGGCCCAAAGCCCAGGTTGTGCCAAGCATACTTTACATAATGCCAACTTGCCCAAGGGTATCTAGAGTTCCTGGATTGCCAACCATAGACCAAACGAAGGCAGTAGACTGGCCAGTAGATAGTAAGTCTCTGTTTAAGACGTCACCTACAGAGGTAGAATTATTGATGGTCCATTTAGAGGATGTTGACACAGTCTATCATGACAGTGAAAAGAACAAGGAAATAGTGGCTCTTGCACCATCCTGCCAAAGAGAAGCCAGTATTCCTGGTGTTCCCTCTGCACCAAGGCAAGAGCATACCAAATGACCCAATGTTGGGATAATAAGCCTTTCTGAATCTGAGCCGAGTATGGTTAACCTTCTGCTTACATGCCCTAAACAGCCAAATAAGTCAGATAATGTTGACTGGCATGCCACTTTTGGAGAGGCCATTGAAGAAAATAACAGTTTCTGTGGTACAGGCAATGCCACACGAGAACAAAGAACTTACAAATAACGTGGTAGATATGTTACCATCTTGCCCAAAGAAGGCTAGGATTCCTGGCTTCCCTTCTCCATCACATGCAAAAGCTGAGGAGGCGCAAAGTATGGCGAATCTTGTTCCGTCCTGCCATAAACGTTTTAGTCTCCTTGGAATAGGGAAACAGGGTGGGTTGTTGACCAGAGGTCATTGTTCAAGAGACCACTATAGGAGAGGAAAGACATTATTGACAGCTCAAAAGCAGACAAAGAGGAAATGAAAACCAATGTTCCTTTGAGACCATCATGTCCTCATGCTGCAAGGATCCCTGGCTGTAGATCAAAGACCATTCTGGGAAAAAACACAGAAAGAGATTCCAGCTTTTGGAGTCAGTAGATCAGGTGATGCAAAAGGTATGGCAGCTATGTGTGCCTGGTTTCCCTTCAGCACAGCATCCAATTATAGAACCACATGAGTCAAACATGGTCAGTCTGCATGAGTCAAACATGCTCAGTCTACAAGAGTCAGTCTTTTGCGAATTTGCCCAATGGTTACACATCTACAAAAAACGCAAAATCAAGAGGATCCTCCGATTCAACAGTGGCTGTGGAGGAGAGGCCATTTTGGGAAAAGACACTGAAAGAGAAAACAGTGCGGTCTCTGGCTCCCACTCATGATGAATTAGAGAAGGGAATGGTGGCTATGTTGCCATCTTTCCCAAGTGAGGCCATTGCTCCTGGTTTTCCATCTACACATTCTCAAACGCCTCTCAACAGTGGTTCGTCTCTCCATCTGAGTGAGCAGAGGAGATCTATGACTGCAAGAAGGAGAGCCATACAGAGCCTAGCTACAAACCCCAACTAATCAAAGTAGTGCTGAATGAGAACAAACAAGAATCTGAACATGGCTCAGTGTTGGAGGGGCTCAAAGAGGAGAGGGGCATTCTGACCAGATATCAAATCAAACCAAATCACATTTTATTTGTCACATGCGCCGAATACAACAGGTGTAGACCTTACAGTGAAATGCTTTACTTACAAGCCCTTAACCAACAATGCAGTTTTAAGAAGGAAAAAAAAAAGTGTTAAAGTAAAAAATAGATAAGTAAAAAAGTATGAGGCACAGGAAGTGGGCGTTCTAGAAAAAGGGTGAGTGAGTGGGAGTAAGAGAGCAAAACAATTCTACATCTGCATTATGGCATTTTTCTAAAACTTAAACTACATTTCTCTGCCTGTCAGTTACCTGTCAGATACTGTAGAATATGAAACACTTGAATTTCAACTCTGTTTTCAGGCACTGCTGAATGTGGCACGCCATTCCTGCAGACATGCCATTATTCTTGACTGTCAGAGATAGGTGGGTTGTGTTGATTTGCTGCAGGAGTGCAGCTTTTCCTTCGTTTGGCTGCTTACGATAACACTTTTGAACCATCTCATCCACATCTGACTGACACTACTGTGCTTTTTGCACTATTCTTGGAAGGCGCATGCCCTGTGCTTTCTTCTCCATCTATTTATCTATTTCGTGTCTCTTTCAGCCCTTCGTGTCAGTCTCCCATCCAAGGGGGTCAGCCATTGTGGTATGGGATGGGAGCAACTGTTGACAAAGAGCCAAAATAAATTTCACACAGCCAGACCACTTGTGAGGTTGTGGCCCTGGCAAAGTGTCAAGTTGTAGAGGACTAGGAGATGATATGTGAGGAAGAAATGGAAGAGGAAGTCTTAGAGTCAGGCTCTGGAATAGAGCATTCTGGGAAGGAAGAGGTTACTGTGGCTAGGCAGGTGGAAACGTATGAGATGTGGTATGTGTATAAGGGTCACAGTGCTCAACCTCACCACCTGCCAGCATGGTGCTGGTTTAGTAGTGTTGATGTGCATGGTGTTGCATTTCTATTGCGTTTTTGGGGTTTGGATTTAAAACAACTTAAACAGAGCATTTAGCCACCTGCAGCAATGGAATTAAATCGTATTGTAGGATTTGTGCTTCTAGACTTATTCAGTATATTTTCCAATATTTTGCATTATCAATTTTAATTGTAATGAATATATACAATTTTGTCTTGCGTTGTATGGTATTGCATGGTATTTATTCACCTAGACCTGCTCTTATCTCGATTTAAATGGTTGCATTTTTAACTGTAATTTTCATGATTAGTCAGAGATAATATTTTTGAGCATGAGTTTTGGTTTGTGTGTGATAGTTTTAGTCCTTTCCATTTGATTGCTTTGTTCTTACCAGAACACTCTGCTTTCTTGGTTGTCATAATCAACTCTGATCATGGTCCCCCTCTCCTCAGACCTGAAAACATGGTTTCTCTGCCGTCATCATGCCTAAGACTCGCCAGTGCACCAGGGCTTCCATCCACTCAAGCATCCTGTTCAGAGGCTCAGTTAGAAGACTGTCCAGTGGACAATAGCATATTATGGGAGAAGCCAAGAAAGGATGGTCCAGATCATAGATCAAAAGAGGAGAAAGACATGGTGAGAGGTATGGCAGATATGGTCTCATCTTGTCCATGCACTGCCAGCATTCCGGGATTTCCGTCTCCACATCTGTCCAAGGAAGTCAAGTTAGAGAGGGAACCTAACATGGTAGATCTAATGCCATCCTTCCCAAGAGTGGCTGGCACACTCGGATTCCCTTCTCTTGAATGTCAAGTAAAGGAGTGTACAATCAACATTGAGGCCATTTGGGAGAGGCCCCCGAATGGGGAAAAAAAGTGTGACCTTTATGTCCACTCCACATTTGGACAGATTGAAAGAAGACACAGAGCTAATAAAACACATGGTGGCTCTGGTACCATCATGTCCTACTGCAGCAAGGATTCCTGGCTTCCCCTCTGCACCACATCCCAAAGCTGAGGTAGATCTAAGTATGTTGAGTCTTGTGCCCGCTTGCCCCAAAATGTCCAGTCTCCCTGGTTTTGCATCCACTGATGGGGCTACAACATTAGAGTGGCTTGTTGACCCAAAGCCTATGTTTGAGCACTTGCAAAAGAAGAAGAAGGAAGATGAAGAAAGCATTCTCCTAAATGGCAAATCAAAAGAAGATATTGGCAAAACGAACGCAATGGTTGCTTTGGTGCCATGTTGCACAGAAGCAGCCAGGATTCCTAGCTTCCGCTCTGCACCACGACCTAAGAGGGAGCTTAATAGTGTGGATCTCACACGATCTTGCCCCAAAATCTCCAGTCTCCCAGGTTTCCCATCAACGGCCAAAGTCCAGACAGGAGATTGGCACGTTGAACAGAAGCCTTTGTTTGAGAAGACACTGAAAGATAAGACCGTAATAATCAAAGATAGGTTAGAAAATATGAAAAATATGGTGGCACTGGTGCCATCTTGCCCATGTGACAGTCTCACTTCTGGGTTCCCGTCCTTTACATGACTTAAAGCAATAGAAGAACAAACCGTGTTTTCTCTACTGCCAGCTTGTCCAAATGAATCTAGAGAACCTGGTTTACCTTCTAGACAGCCATCTGAATTAACTCGGGCGAATCTGTAAGTTCTATGCAGCCATTGTGGGGAAAACCATTTAAGGATAAAAGGTCAGATGATATCGTGCTCTTCGAGCCGGACCTAGGCAGTGCAGTTGGAGATGAAAATCTAAAAACGATGGTTGCACTGGCACCATCTTGCCCCGAGGCAGCAAGCATTCCTGGTTTCCCATCTGCCCCTCCTCACAGTCTAGAGTCTGTAGAGGCAAATGGTAAGACATGTGTGGTTAGACATGTAATATCCTTTTTCCAGTGTCTCGCATTGCAAGTGGAAAGCAACATACTTTGGTTTTTGGTTTTTAAGAGACAAATATGCAGATCGAGAAGAAAGAGGTTACTGGGGAACCAGCAGAGTATGTTCTAGATAAGGGGTAAGTGTTTGAGCATATGGCTCTCTGCATGGATTGCAGTGGCAGTGGTAGGGAAACATTGTTGTTTGTTTTTATTTGGTCTGCAACGGCCACTGTAAAGCCAGATATTTTAACTCTGGCAAACCTCTTAAGACTGCATGGCGTGTTTGGTCATTTTCAGGATGCTCTGCATCTGAGATGTGTTTTAGGTCTGTGAACCTCTTACATGGAGATCATATATTATGGAGTGCACAGGAGGTCGGTGGCACCTTAATTGGGGAGAAAGGGCTTGTGGTAATAGCTGGAGTTGAATGAGTGGAATGGTATCAAATACATCAAACACATGGTTTCCATGTGTTTGATTCCATTCCATTCACGCCGTTCCAGCCATTATTATGAGCCGTCTTCCCCTCAGCAGCCTCCACTGATGGAGTGATATTCTTACTGAATTTGTGACGGATGAGTTGTTGTGGTGCATGCCAACAACTCTGTGTTTTTCTGTGTGTAGCATGGATTTTGTAGGGATGTTCTTTTCAATGTTCACCTCTCATGTTAGTGTCCTCGGCAGCCCACAAATAGAGAAAATCACATCTGAGGAATCTGAGGTCCAGAAAATCACATTATATTAAATTTTTAAGTAATTCATTTTGCATTTTATTGTCATGACATAGGCCTCTGGCCTAGTACAGACCATTGTTGGTGTCTTCTCCAGAGGGGAAGTGGGAGATTGTAGTGAGGCTTCTCTCTAGAAGGGCAAAGTGTGTGGTGTGTTCTGTTTAGAAAGTAGTAGCACAGTAGATTCTTAGTCAAATTAAGGTGATTATATTCACCAGTGTCACCCTCATGTTCACTAGTTTATTTAGATTTATGTTTGCATGTAATGGCATTTTCTATTTTTGATCTTCGTCATTGATTTGACAAATCACATTTTGGTCAAATCAATAACTTTTAGCAACTCTTGCATACAATTAATAAATTAAATGTATTGATGACTGAAGTTTGAATGATCTGGGTTTAATCGCTCAGATTTCTGAAATGTGTTGAGACTTTTTATATGGTTTAGCATGCTCCCAATGTTTACCATGCCTGTTTTAAAGCTCAGTCCCTTAATTACAGTAAGTAATCCCTCTCTCACAGTTATGAAACAGTAGCAGCCATGTTGGGCCCGTCTGGTTCCTCTCCAACAGAAGGTGCAGACAGTAGCATGACAGTCTCCTCCTCTGTGGACCCAGAGAACAGTGCAGTCCCAGATACACCTACCCTCGTCCAGGAAGCAGTGTCTGGAAAGGCACCGCACCTTGAGGGTGAAACCAAAAAAACGATTGAACTCCCAACCACCGCTGAGCCATGCTTGTTGACTCTGGAAGACAAACAATCCGAGTCTCCATCGGTAGTGAGACACGACACTGAGGATGGGTTTGTTGGAGTCGAAGGTCTAAGCAGTATGAGAAAATGGCCGTCATTGACGGAGGCTGACCTTACTGAGATCTCCAAAGGACAATTTGTGGCAACTGGGGAAGAAGAGATTTACCTTGACAAGCGGGCGCAAATAGGGGAGAAATCAACATTCAAAGCGCAGGACTCTGGACAGATAACAGGTTATGTTGACATTTCTTCAGCCGGGTCACCTATCGAGACAGAATGATCAACTTCATTACACCTGGACAGCAAACCCGTGTCTGAACTATTTGGCTGCACTGCTTGAAAATACAAATGCGTTATTTTGAAGTCATAACATTGTCTTTCGTTGGCATAATGTTTGGCTCAGCCATGCCTGCTACTCAGTGAACTGTGATGCACAAGTCTACAGTATGTGTTTAAGCTGCGTTTTGATGTTTAAGGCACTTGTTTGTGGACCCAGGTGTTTTAATGTAAACTAAGGTCTTCAGTGTCTCTGTGTACTGTTTATGCTGCTACCTATGTCGTGCATGTTTGTCTTGTAAAGAAAAACCTGTGGCTTTTTGTTAGTCATAATCAGTCAATGTGTTGAGTTTTTCTACATCTGGAATGCTTCTCCAGTGTCTGCTCAGTGGAATGGGGTATGTAATCGCTTCTGTGATGTGTGGGGTTGCTTTACTGATATTATAATTTCAATAGTTATTTAATAGAATATAATTCTATGGCAAGATCTGAGCCATGATCTTTTTTTACCATTATTTTTTTTTAAACCTTAAGCACCCAACATGCAAGCACAGAGGAAGTCTCTGCCCCTACCTCACAGCCTGCTACAGACAAGTCGGTGTTAGAGGACAAGTCTCAAGAACATATAGTACCCATCCCAGATAAACCCTCTGATGATCAGACACTCACCTCAGATTAAACACAATCAGAAGTTGCCCATCTTCATGGAGCCCGAAAGAAAAAGAGATCCCTGCCACAACAATCTCAAAAGAAAGCAGATGGCCGAGGGAGTTTCGCTGGCCAGGCTGTCCCTGCACAGGTAACAACTGAACTGGTCGGTCCTCATCATGCAAAGAAACGAGACGGTGGTCTTCCTCCAGAAACTCAACAGGAAGCTGATGATCAAGGGATTGTATTTAAGGTGGTCCCATCACGGCCTCTAAGGAGAAAAGACAGTCTCACTTCAGAGCGCAAACAGAAATCTGAGAATGTACAGTGGGTAGAACAAGTATTTGATACACTGCCGATTTTGCAGGTTTTCCTACTTACAAAGGTCCAGAAAATCACATTATATGATTTTTAAGTAATTCATTTGCATTTTATTGCATGACATAAGTATTTGATCACCTACCAACCAGTAAGAATTCCAGCTCTCACAGACCTGTTAGTTTTTTTTAAAGAAGCCCTCCTGTTCTCCACTCATTACCTGTATTAACTGCACCTGTTTGAACTCGTTACCTGTATAAAAGACACCTGTCCACACACTCAATCAAACAGACTCCAACCTCTCCACAATGGCCAAGACCAGAGAGCTGTGTAAGGACATCAGGGATAAAATTGTAGACCTGCACAAGGCTGGGATGGGCTACAGGACAATAGGCAAGCAGCTTGGTGAGAAGGCAACAACTGTTGGCGCAATTATTAGAAAATGGAAGAAGTTCAAGATGACGGTCAATCACCCTCGGTCTGGGGCTCCATGCAAGATCTCACCTCGTGGGGCATCAATGATCATGAGGAAGGTGAGGGATCAGCCCAGAACTACACGGCAGGACCTGGTCAATGACCTGAAGAGAGCTGGGACCACAGTCTCAAAGAAAACCATTAGTAACACACTACGCCGTCATGGATTAAAATCCTGCAGCGCACGCAAGGTCCCCCTGCTCAAGCCAGCGCATGTCCAGGCCCGTCTGAAGTTTGCCAATGACCATCTGGATGATCCAGAGGAGGAATGGGAGAAGGTCATGTGGTCTGATGAGACAAAAATATAGCTTTTTGGTCTAAACTCCACTCGCCGTGTTTGGAGGAAGAAGAAGGATGAGTACAACCCCAAGAACAGCATCCCAACCATGAAGCATGGAGGTGGAAACATCATTCTTTGGGGATGCTTTTCTGCAAAGGGGACAGGACGACTGCACCGTATTGAGGGGAGGATGGATGGGGCCATGTATCGCGAGATCTTGGCCAACAACCTCCTTCCCTCAGTAAGAGCATTGAAGATGGGTCGTGGATGGGTCTTCCAGCATGAAAACGACCCGAAACACACAGCCAGGGCAACTAAGGAGTGGCTCCGTAAGAAGCATCTCAAGGTCCTGGAGTGGCCTAGCCAGTCTCCAGACCTGAACCCAATAGAAAATCTTTGGAGGAAGCTGAAAGTCCGTATTGCCCAGTGACAGCCCCGAAACCTGATGGATCTGGAGAAGGTCTGTATGGAGGAGTGGGCCAATATCCCTGCTGCAGTGTGTGCAAACCTGGTCAAGACCTACAGGAAATGTATGATCTCTGTAATTGCAAACAAAGGTTTCTGTACCAAATATTAAGTTCTGCTTTTCTGATGTATCAAATACTTATGTCATGCAATAAAATGCAAATTAATTACTTAAAAATCAAACAATGTGATTTTCTGGATTTTTGTTTTAGATTCCGTCTCTCACAGTTGAAGTGTACCTATGATAAAAATTACAGACCTCTACATGCTTTGTAAGTAGGAAAACCTGCAAAATCGGCAGTGTATCAAATACTTGTTCTCCCCACTGTATCTGTTCAGAAGCCCACTGAAGTGAGAGGAGACCGTAGTCTTTCAACAGAACCTCTAAAGAAAGATGATGGCCAGAAGGGTTTCACTGCCCAGGCACCAGCTGAGATGGTCACATCACATCCTGGTAGGAAAAGAAACCGTTGTCTTTCAACAAAAAACTGATGCCCCTGTCCAGGTGCCCACTGAACTGGTCCCTCCTCGCCGTACTAAGACAAGCCTCACTAAAGAGACACCACAGGCAACTGGCGTTGTCCCACCTCCACGCCCAAGGAGAACCTCTAGCGCTTCCAGTGCAGAACGTTCACAGAAACCTGGCCAGGAAGCCACTGAACTGATTCCACCACGGCCTGTGAGGAAACAAGACAGCCTCACTCCAGAGCCATCTCAGAAAGCTGATGAGCCAAGCTCATTCCACCTCAACGCACCAGGAAAGCATCTCTCCCTCTCTCTCTCTCCCGAACCACGACAGAAAGCTGACAGTTTAGAGACTGCTACTGGTCAGCCCACAACTGTTCCCCTAACTCCAGATCATGTACCTACAGAGTCGTACCCCGATTTTGGTGTGGGAGAGACTGCCCCCCTCTCGATCATCAGAAAAATAGCCCCGCCTAGGTGCAGCAAGAGAACTCATTCTCCCCCCAGTGGAATCAAGCAAAGCAGAAGATGGCGCAGATGAGGCTATGGCTGTAGAGGCCCTGAATACTGCCAACCACGAGTCTACAGCTCCAGCCCAGATAGAGGATCTTATGATAGACCCGTTTGAAAAGGTTGAGGCGGAGAAGCAGTCTCCGGAAGTCACAGACTCATTTGAAAAGGTTGAGGTGGAGAAACAGTCTCAGGAATTCACAGACTCATTTGAAAAGGTTGAGGCGGAGAAGCAGTCTCCGGAAGTGACAGAAACAGCCACTGAGTCACTTGAAGATGAGCCATCTCAGAAGGTCTCAACAGAAGTCACAGACTCATTTGAAAAGGTTGAGGTGGAGAAACAGTCTCAGGAATTCACAGACTCATTTGAAAAGGTTGAGGCGGAGAAGCAGACCCTGGAAGTGACAGAAACAGCTACTGAGTCACTTGAAAATGAGCCAGCTCAAAAAGACTCAACAGAGGACACTGCACCAGGAGTAAAGATGGAAGGCAAGCAGGAGTACTTACCAGTCCCAAAGCCAAGAGGGAAACAAGACCCAACCCCACCTGTCCAAACAGATGCTACCCGACCAAAGACCTGGCATGCCTCTAGTGGGGATAACACCCAGTCTACCAGAGAAAGAGGACGTTCACCTGCAGCCTCAGCCTCTGGGCTGGTACCACCTCAACGCAACAAGAGGAGCAGTAGTCCTCCTCCCGTACCCCCTGGTGGCCAGCCTGCAGCATCTGGGGAAGTGGTGGTTGCTCCTCTTCGTAAGAGGAGGAGTAAACTAAACATAGAACAATCAAGCATGTCTGTTCCAGTTCCCCGCTCTAAAAAAACACCTTAGTTGCTCTTTTTCTGATGGAACTCCTCCAATGGACTTCTCTTTCACCAGCCAGAGAGACTCCCTTGAGAGCTCGCTGTCTCTCTCAGGAAGACAAACAAGACACCAGTCAGGAAGCCACAAGAGGGTTCACTATCACTAACCTCAAACATGGTCTCCGAAGGGAGCTTTGTCACAATTTCTCACTCAGAGGAGATGTCACCAGAAGTCTGTGAGAAGGGACTGGAGGAGAGCGGGGAGAGCTTGACCTTTACAGATACTACCATGGTCACTCAGGCCTTCACAGAAACCCCTATGGTCACTGACTTCTTTGAAGACACTGTAAGTGAGGATATTGAGAGCGGTTCAGAGGCAGAAGTGCTTGACCCGACCTCTCCAACCACCGGTACACCAGCTGAGGACGACTGGTTACATGTTGAGGGAGCCAAAGAGACAGAGCAGATGGAGGTTGAAAGCAAAGACATGGGGGTTGAAGAGGTGGACTTTGGCTTTGAGTCAGTAGACATAGCTGCTGGTGGCTTAGATGAGGAGAGGTACGTTATGTTGAGTTGTACACACGTGCAATACAGTGGTTGATTGACGTGTGGACATTTTTGAGAGCATTTACCTATAGTTGTTGATAATTCTGTGTGACTAGAATGCTTTTCTGAAAGTGAACTGATTGAGAAAATGCCTTATATTTAATCCTTTACCATTATTTGAAATGTGTTGCTACTAAACTGTTAGAACTAAACATCCAGAGTATAACGATCAGTTGGTGTGTAGTCAGGTCATATTAAATCCCTGTTTTTCTATTTTTAGGCAGCAGGGGGCAGCAGACGAGCCAACAACTCCTAAACGCAGACCTGTAAACTCTCAGGAAATGGGTCTAGGCAGTGCTGCTTCCCCAGAAGTATGTTATTTATAGTCTATCAGTTGACCAATCCTCCACCATCCATTTTGTGTCCTTTGAAATGAAATGCTGACTCATTACCACAATCATAACTGTCCATTTTGTGTCCTTTGAAATTAAATGCTGACTCATTACCACAATCATAACTGTCAATTTTGTGTCCTTTAAAATGAAATGCTGACTCATTACCACAATCATAACTGTCCATTTTGTGTCCTTTAAAATGAAATGCTGACTCATTACCACAATCATAACTGTCCATTTTGTGTCCTTTGAAATGAAATGCTGACTCTTTAACACAATCATAACTGTCCATTTTGTGTCCTTTGAAATGAAATGCTGACTCCTTACCACTCTGAATGTACCTATTATATCTGATGTCATTTGTTGTCTTAGGGTTTCATGGCCAGTCCTGGTCTGGTGACCTCCAGCCAGTCCCTACTGGAGTGGTGTCAGGAGGTCACCAAAGAACACAAGGGGGTCAAGATCACCAACTTCAGCACGTCCTGGAGGAACGGCCTGGCCTTCTGTGCACTGCTACACCACTTCCACCCAGACAGGATGTAGGTACCCCCTCTGTGAAGCGTTTAGACATAAACATGAGCAGGCATTGTGTTATGACTTGTTTAACCTTTAAAAATGACATTATTTTTGTATTAACTTGTTTCCTGTTCTTGTAGTGTGTATTGATTCTCTCTTTCTTCGCTGCTTAGAAACTTTGAGATGCTGGACCCTTATGACATCAAGCGCAACAACAAAAAGGTAGTTTGTTTCCTTTATGTTATCTCATCATGTCATAATCACTACCAACAGCCAGGCCTTAAATGTGACCATCAATTGGTTAACTGCTGAATATTTTCCCCACCCAATCCATCTTCTCTTCTCTCATTTCCCCCTAGGCCTTTGACGGTTTCGCCGAGTTGGGCATCTCTCGGCTGATGGAGCCCTCGGACATGGTCCTCCTGGCCGTGCCTGACCGCCTCATCGTCATGACCTACCTCAACCAGATCCGCACCTACTTCACGGGCCAGGAGCTGAGTGTGCTGCACATCGAGGCGGACAGCAGTGAGTCCAGTTACGGTGTGGCCGGGGAGAGCCGGGAGGGTCCCGACCCAGAGGCCGCCGCACGCTACTGTCAACGGATCCAAGATGAGGCCCTCACAATGGAGACCAATGTGGGCGCTGCAGAGAAGAAGGCGGATAGTGACACTAAGGAGTGCACCAATGGGGAAGTGGTCCCACCCCCTAGAACCAAACGGCTGCAGGCTGCAGGGGAAGCAGGAGGGGCCCAAGCACCCGTTGCACCCCCTAGGACACATTTCTTATCTTCCAAGTCTGGGTTCTCCCACCTAAAGGATGCAGATCTGGTTAAGAAACGCCGGTCACAACGCAGGTCAATAGATGAGGCAGACCCAGCCGAAGTAAGTGGCCTACGATATCTCTCAACTCAATAGGCTTTATTGACATGGCAAGTTAAATTACTTACATTGTCAAAGTATACATATAACAAAAATGGTGGGACCAACAGCAATAATAATAGTAGTAGTGGAAATGGGATTACCATTAACAGCAACTACAACAACAATATTAATGAGAATAACAATACATTAACGCAATAGTAGTAGACTAGTGTCAAACTGACTGAGAAGCCACATGATATGGTATGAAAGCCAAAACAAAACTAAATGGGAAATATTATTGACATTACATTGCACTTTTCACTGCCTGTGGCAGGAAGACACATATTTGGCTTTTCACCCAATACATATTTGTTTTTTTCTTCATCTTTTTATAGTTTCAATTCTTTGTACTGAATGATAATTTGGGGAAAGAAAGATTATTTTAGGTCTGAGTATTTGTCAATAGTCTCTACCTCTCCCCTGGAGCAGAGTGAGCACAGCCTGTCCTCTCTGGGCAGCCAGGTTTGCCTGTGATGACCGGTCTCTATAGCCAGACTATGCTCACTGAGTCAGTACCTAGTCAGTGTTTTCCTCAGTTTTCTATCAGTCACAGTGCTCTCTCTCTCTCTCTCTCTCTCTCTCTCTCTCTCTCTCTCTCTCTCTCCATCTCTGTGAGTGATTATTTTGTTGTATTTACAGGTTGCTACAGGACAGGAAGAGGGTGGAGCTGACAGAAGAAAATCAGAAACCGGTACATACAGTAGATTGATTTTGTATGATGTGTTCTGAGTTCACACACTCACACACACAGACACACACACACACACACACACACACACTCACACACACAGACTTACTGAGTCTCCAGTTTCCCAGGTACTTTATGATTGCGCTACACCCATCAGAGGAGCAGTGTATAGGCGAGAGAGAGAGTACATACACAAGTCATCACAGTTTTCTTTGTTGATTCATCCTTCCCCTGAGCATTGACATCACTCACTCTAATTACTTTGTTGGCTTCCTGTCGTTAGGATTAGAGTCCTTAGCCTATCAAACTATGCTAATTACCTCTTGTCATCGCAGTCTAGTTTTCCACTTTGATGCTCTTCCAGTAATTGTAGCTACTGCATAATGTTGCTATGTGTCTCGTTATGCTGTGTGTGTGTTTCATATAGGAAGGGCAGCTGGTGAAGAAGGACGATCGGCAGAGGAGGTCTGTCACTTTCACAAGTTACTGTCTGCCACTGTCATAAACACTTATGTGCATTAAGGAAATACCAATGATCTGTATCAGAAATAAGTATAATTCTCTCTGTGTGTGTGTCTGTGTCTGTGTGTCTGTGTACACAGGACACCAGCCAGTATGTGCTGAGGGAGATGCAGGCCCTAGAGGCGGAACAGAAGCACATTGACAGCAGGGCAGACATCGTGGAAAGGACACTACGGCAACTTATGGAGTCAGGTGAGGGGGGATGAAGAAAGAGAGACAAATCCCCTTCAATAAATACTTTCAGTATTTTCAAAACGTCTCTTTATAATGATGCCCTCTCTGTCTCCATACATGTAGGTAGTGACAAGATGCAGGAGGAGAAGCTGATTCAGGAGTGGTTTACTCTGGTCAACAAGAAGAACGCCCTCATCAGGAGACAAGACCAACTACAGCTACTGTAACGTCCACCATGCCTACTGTGCTGTCTACCTAGTGCTTTAAACAACACCGACGTATTATAGCTACATTACATTGATCTAACCACAAGGCATTCTGCTCCACAGGCAAGAAGAGCAGGACCTGGAAATGAAGTTTGAGATGCTGAACCGAGAGCTGAGAGACATGATGGCTATTGAAGGCAAGACTACAGTACCAATATACTAAACTACAAGATCCATGATGCCACTCTATTCTGTGATACAGCTCATTACTGTGGTCATAGTGACACCCAAACCATACAATAACAAATATATCTCTGCAAGGGAAATTAGTAAAGTGTGCTGTTGCATATGTCAGTGTTAGGTTCTAATTTCTGGTACAATATACGGACTCAGAGAAAAACTCAAACTACATTTATTCACCACACTGTGTGTTGCAGCTGCATAGCACACAAACAGATATTTATACCTTCCGATTAAACTGAGTGCCCTCCTTGTATTTCTAGGATAAACAATCAGTCTCTGTTGTTGGGCAAGTCCAGAACCTTTGTGCTCCTCCGTGCCTTTCACAGGGCTTCTTATCAGTCAGGAGAGGTCTTGAGTTATTGGGAGTACACATTTCTACAGTCTACTGCAGTCCACTAGATAATTACACCTCTCATACACAAAGAGCTTAAACCTAACACTACTTTAAATCTCTAAGAATATATAAACTGTATATTCATAGTAAGAGTATATAATGATAGAAAACAGTGAAGATATAAGACGGTGTTATAGAATTAAAGTAATTTACGATCTATCAGCTTTAACCCCAGACACATGGCTCCTATTCAACCCTTATTGGATCATTCTTTCCCTCAGAGACAGGCCCCCTTTGTACTTTGTCTCTGCCCAAATACAATGCACATAGATCATTCCATCTAACCCATAATTACTACTGCTAGGCTCATTTACAATTATTAACAGATTAAAACGGGCTCAAGTCAGATAGTCTCCAACAGCAGTAAACTTTGGTCATGATTGACTCACGCTATTAACACATCTGTTTGGTAAAGTCAGACTTCCCAAATATACCAAGTGGTATCTGCCCACCTGCTGGTTTGAGGAAGTGATCCTTTCTTTAATGACATCATTTATTGTAATCCTTTATTTACTTCCAGTTGAATCACGAGGTTATAGTTTAAAATGAAATACATCGCAATAAAAAGCTGGTAATGGAACTCAATTTCACGTTGGCAAAGCAACAACTGTCTTCTCTACTCTGTACCACCCTCAATCTCGTACCACTCTTTCCCTGTCCTCTCTCTCTCTCTCTCCTCCGATCACTCTCTCACTCTCTCCCCCTCCCCTTTTTGCTCTGTCCTCCAGAGTGGCAGAACACAGCTGCCCACAAGCACAGGGAGCAGCTGCTACTGCAGGAGCTGGTGTCTCTGGTCAACCTGAGGGACGAGCTGGTCCACGACATGGACGCCAAGGAGAAAGGGTGAGACAGCCATGTTTGTATCCCAAATGGTACCCTATTCCCTATATAGTGCACTACTTTTGACTAGAGCCTAATTGGCCAAAAGATGTGCACTATATAGGGAATAGGGTACCATTTGGGATGCAACCATGGCCCAGCTGAGTCACACACGCTGAATGCACACCGCAAACACAGACACACTGCAAACACAGACGCTTAACACACACTCTGCTAGACATTAACCATGGATGTATTCATCTGGGGGGATGGTATGCTATGGGGTGAATGAGATATCAGGTCTCTTTGTGAGTTTTGTCTTCCACTGCCACAAAGTTGAACCTAAGTCTGAGAGGGTGACTGTTTGCTATGGGCCTACTGTTCTAGCAGGTCTCTCCCTGTTCAGTATGAAAAATGTACACACTCACTAACTGTAAGTCGCTCTGGATAAGAGCGTCTGCTAAATGACTAAAATGTCAAATGTAAAAAATGTTCTCTGCGCCTAGGGCTCTGGAGGAGGACGAGAGGCTGGAGAGAGGCCTGGAGCAGAGACGCAGGAAGTACAGCAAGAAAAGCAAGCAGGAGAAGTGTGTGCTGCAGTGAGGCCTGGCGTCGGACACACCTGAACCAGGAAGCCCAGTAGAAGGTCACACCTGAACCAGGAAGCCCAGTGGAAGGTCACACCTGAACCAGGAAGCCCAGTAGAAGGTCACACCTGAACAAGGAAGACCAGTGGAAGGTCACACCTGAACCAGGAAGCCCAGTGGAAGGTCACACCTGAACCAGGAAGCCCAGTGGAAGGTCACACCTGAAACAGGAAGCCAAGTGGAAGGTCACACCTGAACCAGGAAGCCCAGTGGAAGGTCACCTGGGTGCACATTGGGACTAAAGTTGTATGTGTCTGTATCATGACATCAACACTGCATGGAAGAGACAGAGCTGTGTTATGTGACTGCACTAAGAGGACGTAAAACGATGTTCACTCACCCCCCTCTCCATGATATGACTAAGCCTCAATGCAACCTATGACTGGTTATCAACAGTCACCCTGCTCTTCAGATTGTGTTTTGATTTTTTTGTGTGAGTGTACGTGTGTTTATATGTGTGCGTTGATGTGTGTGTTTGTTTGTGTGTGTGATTGAGAGTGCAAAAGAGGACTACACTTTGTTACACAATCTATGACTACAGTTGAAGTCGGAAGTTTACATACACCTTAACCAAATACATTTAAACTCGGATTTTCACAATTCCTGACATTTAATCCTAGTTAAAATTCCCTGTTTTAGGTCAGTTAGGATCACCACTTTATTTTAAGAATGTGAAATGTCAGAATAATAGTAGAGTGATTTATTTCAGCTTTTATTTCTTTCATCACATTCCCAGTGGGTCAGAAGTTTACATACACTCAATTAGTATTTGGTAGCATTGCCTTTAAATTGTTTAACTTGGGTCAAACGTTTCGGGTAGCCTTCCACAAGCTTCCCACAATAAGTTGGGTGAATTTTGGCCCATTCCTCCTGACAGAGCTGATGTAACTGAGTCAGGTTTGTAGGCCTCCTTGCTCGCACACGCTTTTTCAGTTCTGCCCACACATTTTCTATAGGATTGAGGTCAGGGCTTTGTGATGGCCACTCCAATACCTTTACTTTGTTGTCCTTAAGCCATTTTGCCACAACTTTGGAAGTATGCTTGGGGTCACTGTCCATTTGGAAGACCCATTTACGACCAAGCTTTAACTTCCTGACTGATGTCTTGAGATGTTGCTTCAATATATCCACATAATTTTCCTTCCTCATGATGTCATCTATTTTGTGAAGAGCACCAGTCCCTCCTGCAGCAAAGCACCCCCACAGCATGATGCCACCCCCGTTCTTCACGGTTGGAATGGTGTTCTGCGGCTTGCAAGTGCCCCCTTTTTCCTCCAAACATAACAATGGTAATTACGGCCAAACAGTTATATATTAGTTTCATCAGACCAGAGGACATTTCTCCAAAAAGTACGATCTTTGTCCCCATGTGCAGTTGGCTTTTTTATGGCGGTTTTGGAGCAGTGGCTTCTTCCTTGCTGAGTGGCCTTTCAGGTTATGTCGATATAGGACTCGTTTTACTGTGGATATTGATACTTTTGTACCTGTTTCCTCCAGCATCTGCACAATGTCCTTTGCTGTAATTCTGGGATTGATTTGCACTTTTCGCACCAAAGTACGTTAATCTCTAGGAGACAGAACGCGTCTCCTTCCTGAGCTGTATGATGGCTGCATGGTCCCATGGTGTTTATACTTGCGTACTATTGTTTGTACAGATGAACGTGGTACCTTCAGGCGTTTGGAAATTGCTCCCAAGGATGAACCAGATTTGTGGAGGTCTACAATTTCTTTCTGAGGACTTGGCTGATTTCTTTTGATTTTCCCATGATGTCAAGCAAAGAGGCACTGAGTTTGAAGGTAGGCCTTGAAATACATCCACAGGGACACCTCCAATTGACTCAAATAATGTCAATTAGCCTATCAGAAGCTTCTAAAGCCATGACATCATTTTCTGGAATTTTCCAAGCTGTTTAAAGGCACAGTCAACTTAGTGTATGTAAACTTCTGACCCACTGGAATTGTGATACAGTGAAATAATCTGTCTGTAAACAATTGTTGGAAAAATGACTTGTGTCATGCACAAAGTAGATGTCCTAACCGACTTGCCAAAACTATAGTTTGTTAACAACAAATGTGTGGAGTGGTCGAAAAACAAGTTTTAATGACTGCAACCTAAGTGTATGTAAACTTCTGACTTCAACTGTATATGCCGTTATTTTGTGTTTTAACTTCAGGTCACAAAGACATATCCCTAACTAACTTATCACCAGATAGTTGCTAACACTCTTAGAAAAAAGCGTTCCAAAATGGTTCTTAGGCTGTCCCCATAGGATAACCTTTTTTGGTTCCAGGTAGAACCTTTTTTGGTTCCAGGTAGAACTCTTTTGGGTTCCATGTACAGTCGTGGTCAAAAGTTTTGAGAATGACACAAGTATTGGTCTTCACAAAGTTTGCTGCTTCAGTGTTTTTAGATATTTTTGTCAGATGTTACTATGGTATACTGAAGTATAATTACAAGCATTCCATAAGTGTCAAAGGCTTTTATTGACAATTACATTAAGTTTATGCAAAGAGTCAATATTTGCAGTGTTGACCCTTCTTTTTCAAGACCTCTGCAATCCGCCCTGGCATGCTGTCAATTAACTTCTGGGCCACATCCTGACTGATGGCAGCCCATTCTTGCATAATCAATGCTTGGAATTTGTGGGTTTTTGTTTGTCCACCCGCCTCTTGAGGATTGACCACAAGTTCTCAATGGGATTAAGGTCTGGGGAGTTTCCTGGCCATGGACCCAAAATGTCGATGTTTTTAGTTATCACTTTTGCCTAATGGCAAGGTGCTCCATCATGCTGGAAAAGCCATTGTTCGTCATCAAACTGTTCGATGGTTGGGAGAAGTTGCTCTCAGGGGATGTGTTGGTACCATTCTTTATTCATGACTGTGTTCTTAGGCAAAATTGTGAGTGAGCCCACTCCCTTGGCTGAGAAGCAACCCCACACATGAATGGTCTCAGGATGCTTTACTGTTGGCATGACACAGGACTGATGGTAGCGCTCACCTTGTCTTCTTTTTTCCGGATGCCCCAAACAATCGGAAAGGGGATTCATCAGAGAAAATGACTTTACCCCAGTCCTCAGCAGTCCAATCCCTGTACCTTTTGCAGAATATCAGTCTGTCCCTGATGTTTTTCCTGGAGAGAAGTGGCTTCCTCGCTGCCCTTCTTGACACCAGGCCATCCTCCAAAAGTCTTCGCCTCACTGTGCGTGCAGATGCACTCACACCTGCTTGCTGCCATTCCTGAGCAGGCTCTGCACTGGTGGTGCCCCGATCACGCAGCTGAATCAACTTTAGGAGACAGTCCTGGCGCTTGCTGGACTTTCTTGGGCGCCCTGAAGCCTTCTTCACAACAATTGAACCTCTCTCCTTTAAGTTCTTGATGATCCGTTAAATGGTTGATTTAGGTGCAATCTTACTAGCAGCAATATCCTTGCCTGTGAAGCCCTTTTTGTGCAAAGCAATAATGACGGCACGTCTTTCCTTGCAGGTAACCATGGTTAACAGAGGAAGAACAATAATTTCAAGCACCACCCTCCTTTTAAAGCTTCCAGTCTGTTATTCTAACTCAATCAGCATGACAGAGTGCTCTCCAGCCTTGTCCTCGTCAACACTCTCACCTGTGTTAACAAGAGAATCACTGACATGATGTTAGCTGGTCCTTATGTGGCAGGGCTGAAATGCAGTGGAAATGTTTTTGGGGGATTAAGTTCATTTTCATGGCAAAGAGGGACTTTGCAATTAATTGTAATTCATCTGATCACTCTTCATAACATTCTGGAGTATATGCAAATTGCCATCATAAAAACTGAGGCAGCAGACTTTGTGAAAATTAATATCTGTGTCATTCTCAAAACTTTTGACCACGACTGTAGAACCCTCTGTGGAAAGGGTTCTACATGGAACCAAAAAGGGTTCTTCAAAGGGTTCTCCTATGGGGATAGCCGATTAACCGTTTTAGGTTCTAGATAGCAAATTTTTTTCTAAGATACTGTAGAATCTGTTACAGTAGTGTATTGTACAATGGGTTACTTTAAAAGGGTATTTTCCACTGAATGGGATATTATGGAACGGGCAGGGCTCCAGGACTTGGCTATATCAAATACCTACTTTGCTACTTTTAGACCCATGCAGCAGGTGGATTGATTCACCCCTTTTCACCTATAGTTAAATGAGCAGTCTGATTATTGACAATTACAATGTAGAGATGGAAGTGAAGTGCTCAACTTGTGTAAACAAAGAATGCCAAAAGGAGCTTCCTAATTTCTTGCAGTATGTTGGCTTGGACTGTGCAGACAGCACACAGTTGTCTGATTCTTTATTGAGGTGAATGTATGTGGATGTCGACGAAAGAACAAAACGGACATTGTTGACAAGGTCTTGGGATTGAAGATGTCAAATGTTTACTTACAGTGCTCCAACACTCAACCAGAGTGGGAGATCTTGGATGAAAGGGGAAAGGATGGGAGTCTATACTGTAGCTACAGTATACTGCAGCTCTGTGTCTGAAAGAACAAAACAGTTTAAACGTGTTGGAAATATTTGATGGTTTTATTTATTGAATAGGTATTCGACAGATAATCCTACAGATCGTGCCTGTCAAATGTGCCTTTAACCAGATCTATAGTAAAAAAATAAATCCGGAAGTAGGACTCAACTTTGTGTTCCCAGTTCACAAATGTTTATGCAATGAGTTCAGTTACAGTTTGTGACATTAGTCTTGTAATGCCTTGTTTTCCATTGCTTGGTTTTTGTTGTTTTGACAGTTAAATAAGGAAGCGGTGGAGTCTGAAAATTATACATTTCAAGATCTAAAATGCTAGAGAACAGGAATATTCAAACAGAAAACATCAGGCAAATGCATGTTTTGTAGTGTTTCCATCTTAACCTTACCACTATCAATTGCTATAGTCATATGCACATGCTTATTACCGAATCTGTAATATGCAAAAGTGTATGCATTAAACAAATAACCCTCATGATTTAAAAAAAATACACTTTACTTTTACTAAAATATATTCTAGCATTAAAACTCCAGCACTTCGTTACAGCAGTATTACTACAGATGTAGGATCTTGATTTGAGCCAGTTGCTACAGCAGGAAAATAATCCTACAGCAACAGAAAATGTGGATTATAATTAATGGACATTTTTGTAGGGGTTGCTACATTTATCATTAGGGCAAATCAAGTCTGAAATTTCTAAGTGGAAATTACAAACTTTAGAAGCATTTATTAAACTCAAATATGCCACAAGTTTGCGTTTTCTGCTGTGCAGGAAAATTCTCTGCAACAAAAGAGTGATCAAATTAAGATCCTACATCTATATTATTGGCCAGGCAGGAGTGCACCAGAGGTTGATATTTGCTTGACATCTGCTCCACTACACTTTGTGTAATGTTAAGTTATCATGAGCGCAGGCGTTTCTATTTCAGTGGGAGGAACTACTTAACAGAGTAAAAACATGATTCTGTCCTGAGTTATTTTGAGTGACACTGGAGAGTGAATGTTATTTAGAAGTTGTGTTCCAGCTTGTGCCTCCCCCTCTGCCCAACTGTTGTTAGTTACTGTGGTAATGTTGCTACCACTGTCTGAGTTTGAGAGATTTTACTTTTAGTTTTCTGAAATAGCTTTTGGGGAAGATGTTATTTGTTTTAATGTACATTTGCACTATTTGTGAAGTTTGGAGAAATAAAAGCTATTTTGGATCACTATTTTTGGAAACGACCTTGCATCCACCTTGTTTATTTTAATTCAATGTTCATCTGTTTCATTCATATGGATATCATACGTTTAAGAAGTTGTGAATCCATCAGGATTATCAGTTGTGCATTATATAACATAAAGTCCATTTATATTCTCACTTAACACCTATATTGAATTTGGCCTTTACTGCTATAGCCCATAGAAACACATTGAATAACGCAGTCATAAATGGCAAAACAAACAGTCAAAATATAAGAAAGATCAGTTTTTTTTTTTTTGTTACACATTTAACCCTTTTTTTTGTCGGCACACAACTACTCCATACTTCCTTCCATTAATTGTTTTAACCAGTACAGGGTTACCTTCAGACAAGTCCAGTGACCCACATCGTGTTCATGAGAGTCTCCCTTTTCCATAGTGGTGTCATATTAGTTTGTAGCCCAAACCGTTAGGACGCTACAGATGTTTTCGTGAGAAGACCGATTTTCTGGATGTCTCCTGGTCTGACAAACAGCCTGTAGCTCTTGCAGCCCACAGCGGACGTGGAAGTCCGACATAGGCAGATGTGTTGGATTGAGATGCAGTCCATCCAAAAATATATATATATCTCTATCCTACACAGACAGATTTCTTTTGGTGAACAATTATTTATTCGTTTTTCTTGCATGTGTTAGACAATTACAGTTTCAAGATATAAATATATACAGTTCAATAGGGGAAAACAAACAAACAAAATGTCAAAACAAAAAACAACACCATACAAATGGAAAAGGACAAAACAAAATAGATTAAAGACAAATAGTTTTCAGTATTTCCACATTAAAATGGTCAAATTTCATTCTCAAAGGCTACCAGCAGAGCCACATAGGAAAACAGAAAAATACAGAGCCGGACAATGCTATCTCACAATGTTGTTAAATTAGCTCTTGCATGTGACCAATTGACCAGAGTTTCAGGCTTGGCCCCACGCAGTCTGGCAGTGGAACTTTCCAGCTGCGCAGTGTCCAAGAACATAAGCAATCAACATCTGCAAAGGGAAATACCCGGTTCAAACCAACTCCTTAGAATAGTTTTTTGCCTGCTGTTTTTTGCCGCCTCTCTTGATAAGATAACGAAATGCAAGGGCTACAACCCAGCAGGAGGGGGGATGGGTAACCAGGCAGGCTCCTGCCAAGAATACCATTTAAAACACTAATAACATCAACTCAAGGAGACTTTACCGGTACACAGCTATAAAACATATGCATATAATTGCTCACCTCAGATTGGGTACATTTATTACATAAATCACTATCCACAAGCTTCATTTTGAACCTTTGCTCTGGGGTTAAGCAAAACCTTTGAGCAAATTTGAAATGAATAGGTTGATGGGCAAGGCTCTTAGAAGAGGAAAACATATTTCCCCATATCGTGGTCCAATCTCATTCAAACCCTGCACTTTGTAGGTCATTCTCCCAGATCTCCCTAACAGGTAGATGTTTTATATTATGAGTCACTAGCCTAACTTATAGTGAGGACACCCTCATGAAAGTGGTTTCAATAAAGAGTGGAAGCTTGGTTTGGTGTCCCATGGTACACCGTACCTGAGATTTAAAAAAACAGGAAGAACCAGGAAGAGAATATGACTTTCAGATCTTAAAAGGAACGAAGCCCTTGCATGTTGAAGATATCCTTCAAAACATGAATAACTTGCTTAGACCAAGGATGGAATGTAAAGGGCATAAAGCCAGATAAAATAAAATAGTTATTCCAAATAGGAGATAACTCGTGAAAATTGCAATTTGTGCCCAGATAATTTGGTACCAAACAGTCAATGTATTTCTTTTTTTACAATAGGTCCCATAAAAGATGTGGCCGTTTTTTGCTTTATCCCAGAAGTAGGAAGGTCCTGAATTCTAATTGGGTGAGACTTGGACTCCTCTATTTTCCACCAAGGCACATCAGATGAAGAGTCAAATTCTCAATTCCCAATAATAGAGTTTAAAGTTGTGTATAGAGAGCCCCTCCAAACTCTTTGGGGTGTTGTAATTCTAGGACATTTGCCAAGAATGAAGTTGGGGGAGAAAGAGGAAGCATTGAAAACAGGAAGTTAATACCGGGGATTTTGATTTGAGATTTGTGTATTATGTTAATTATATTGACGTCAATAGATTCTTTAACCAACAATTTTACCTTGCTGCACATCAAGGCCGATACATATCCATAACTGAACGTCAGTGCTTGACTTGGGCAGGAGCTCACCGGAGCTGAGTCCCGACACCTCACATGTTCTACTGCTTGAGCTCCTGTTCCTCTGGTAGAGTATTAGCTCAAAAGTATTGTGGAGCTCCTGCACCTAAATATAATCAGTTTCAGCACCCAAAATGAGTACCGGCACATATTTGAGTCCATGTCGAGTACTGCTGAATGTAGAAATCTACTTACTACCATGAAAGCCATTGTCAGTGTGCCAATGGGACGATGCTATTTCCTTCAGGTGGTTTTTACTCCAAAACTATATTTTGGTATTTGTTTCATTAGTTCATTGTTGATATAGTACCCAAATGTTTTGCATGTCAGCAATCAAGTTGTCAAGATATATAACTTTCAAAATAGAGAAATACAGCTGCTATTTCCCTTCAAGTTGTTTTTACTCATTCATTTCCATTCCACTGATAGTTGGTCCTCATTGTTAGCCTCAGCGCATTGCCTATGGGCACCATGATGATTCAGTTAGTCCAGTGCACGGAGCTCTAGGTCTAGAACTCTAGGGGACTGCCCAAAAATAAAAACAATGTTAATCTGAAGTATCCCATCAAGGGTGTGTTGTTTAGATTGGGTGCTGGATCATGTTGTAATGTGTTTTCCTGTTATAAAGGAAAAGAGATTAAATCTCGGGAACAATGCAGGACTGCCCACTCCTGATGCAAGATGTGGTAACCCCTGGTAACCCCTTATTGTGTTGTGTCAAATGATTATGTAAATTGCTCCTGTCCATAGAGAAATATGTACTTCCCTGACCTCTCAAGGAGAAGGACAAATACATTTTTTAAACTATATTGTATGTATGTGAGCATGCAGGGTATCAATAATGCAATTTCCAGAGAGCTTGTGTGTAATGCATTGTAGGCCACTGGTATGGCCTGAAACATAGAAAGATGTTACACTTAATTATAGTGTGAGATAGTGCTGTGAAAAGTTATCTTGTTCCTGTAAACTATGAATCGCTTCTTCATTTTGTTTACTCATTTAGAAAACAGGCTCCAACCGCACACATGAAGCATGTCTGGCTACACAGTGCATCCCCATAGGCCATAGCCACAAAGCTTTGTCAGCATGAGAAACAGTGATATTACACCATAGACCAGAAACCAGCACCCTATCCTCTCTGCTTAACTCCCTAGTCCTTGCCGATGACAAGCATACCCATAACATAATGTAGCCACCACCATGCTTGAAAATATGAAGTGGTACTCAGTGATGTGTTGTGTTGAACTAAATGACTAT